ATTTGTCCCTCGGGTTCCCGGTGGAACATACGGCTTCAGTGTCACGTCACCATTTCACTCTCTTCTCTCCAGTCTTCTCAAACCAGCTCGACGACTGCCTATAAACTTTCATTTCTTTCCCACACGATCCCCTCCATGTCGAACTCGGGAGCCCAACCCGTCGTTTCCCATTCGGGTTCCACTCGAGCTCCTGGCCCGGTGCGTGATATCTCCAAATGGTCTTCTCAGTGCATGCCCGATCCAGCTCCACTTTCTCCTGCGTATCTGTCCGGCAATGGGTTCACGGTTGGTTCGTTGCCAGCCACAGTGAGTTCCTGCTCCTTATTCTCCCTAACCACCTACCTGACCTTAGCATTGAGCGTAGGCAGCTGTTGATGAATGTGTATGGGCCGTTGGAAGTGCTTTCCGTAACTCGCCAAGTTTGTGAACCGTAAGGCAGCTCTGACCTGGCCTTGGTGTTATAAATGAGGATCTTGCTCTTTGTTCTGAGTGCAGTGCAGTAGACTTCCACACTGATTTCAGATTGATGAATGCCTGCCTTGCTTTTCCGTTCCTGGCTTGACATTCTCATCTGCGCCGCCGCCACCTGTAGTTGAAACGATGCTACCCTGCCTAGATGGGTGGAGGAGACTACCTCCTTTAGGTTTCTCCCGTTCATAGTGACTGGTGCCTCTTGTTTTTGATGCTGTTGTTGGCTGGGTATCTTCATCACGTCTACCTTCTCTACACTCACTTGAAGTCCCGTTTTTGTTGCCCTACCTCTTCTGTCAACTCATCGGTTTTTACCTGCAGATCCTTGGGTTTGTACGACATTGAGCATAAATGGTCATCGGCGAAATACGAATCCTCTAGGGTCTTTTCGTCGGTCCAGTGTATGCCCGTCTTCCAGCTCCCCACAGTTTGTTGCGTGATCCAGTCCACCGCAGTCGGGTAGACCACGGCTTATGGTAGCTGGAAGCCTTGTCCTAATCCTCTTGTTGGTTGTCAGGCAGGGAATTTTGAAAAGAATATTTAATCTCTCCCTCTCTGTTTATTCTTCCGCACCGGGGTGAAACACTTTAGGGGATACATTAGAAGCCTGTAATAGACGCTGCGGAATCTCTTTATTCTCTTCGTTCATGCCATAAACTCGTTTTATGGAGAATTAGATATAAAGAGTAAGGAAATTTATTAAAACCTATTGTCATGAACCAATGACCTTCAGATGCCAAAAAAATTGATGGCACGACCATGTCAGAGAGTACTTGGATCAAGTGATGGTCAGAACAGCCTATGAAAATGCAGGTTCCAGGCCTCAAAGCTTCTGGGGGCTAGCGGTAACTGGAGGGCATTCTCGGACCTTCAAACCCCTGTTCCTAGATTTTGCCAAGGCCTTTGATACAGCGCATCACTCTGTTATCACCCGTTAAATATCGGGTTTGGTATCAGCCGTCAAGCGCTCTCCTGGCTGTAGGCCTATTTAGTTGGCAGAGAATTCTATACAAAAGTCAACAGGGTCTGCTCGACCTGGAAGACACCGCCATCTGGCGCGCCACAAGGGGAGATTCTGAGTCCGCTGCTTTTCCTTCCTGTGATTACTTCCCAGTGAGCCTCAGCATCCTGATTTCATTTTATTCTGACGATGCTGAATTATGGAGAGCTGTGACATCCGAAGCAGAACCAAGTACACTGCAAAGTGATCCCAGACCCCTTCTGAGTAGTTGGATGACAACACGCTAACATTTAGCCAGGATAAATGCCGAACCATGTTTCTCCGCACCCCTGAATCCCAAAACGTGTCATACAAGGTAACGCTCAATCTATGCGCTACTTTTTCAGGTGGATCTTGATTATATTGCTCTCCAAACTTCCTGTCGTGTCTGACCACTTATTATCGTATATTTTTGGCAATATTTCAACCTACCCTTCATTTTCGGTTTATGGCTCCATCGCTCACCTCACATACTTTGTTACCAGTGTCTAGGTATACTGACTATATCCGCTGGCTGTTTTCTATTTCAACATCAGATCTTGGTTTGAACGACTTTTTAAATGAGATGATTCAAGGCTTAGCGTCCCAAAACTGACCGGTGCAGTGAGAAGGAGAAAAGGCTTTGCCGTTCCAGAGTTCTTCTGCGTGACGAAAGCATTGCCATTCTCCTATACCTCAGATCCCAGTGAACTGACATGCCCCACAACTCCCATCAGAACTGAAGAAGTCATTTCGGTCATGAGTAACAGTATTGATGACCACAGGAAAGAAATCGATAGCATTAGGACCATGCTGGGAGGAATTCAGAGAATAGCTGAGGATTTCCATCCTTTAACATATCTTCTTGGAAAGCGTGAGAACTTAGTTGGTAATCGTGTGAAGAAAGCAGAAAATTTAGCAGACTATTCGCAACGGAGATAATGAAGAGATCGTTGTTGTCTCAACGGTCCATCGTTTATGACATACCCGATACCCCACCCTTAAACGTAGTTAAAGTAAAGGTGTTAAACTCATTTGGCATGACAGGAATACACTGTAACTGTAAGCGCTTCCGTAAAAAGTTAATGAAGTCCAGTCTCCCCATGGTTTTCAAGTCCACTAATCCAGTTTTTGCCGAAAGATTTATTAAACTTCAAGACCACATAGCAATTTTAAGAATTTGCTAATGCATAAGGTAAAACCACCTGCCAACACAGAAAACAAAAGGGAGAAGTCCGTACATTTTATCACCCTTAAACATAGAGGCTGCTGTGTGTGCGAATAGACCATCGGAACGTGTTGGCACAACTAGTAATTCCGTCGAACGCAGTTCTTCCTCAGTACGACTGTCTCACTTAATTCCAGAAGCAAGTTAACCCGATGCTTCAATCACTCGAAAAAAGATAACCGCTGGCACTTTCCCCCCCAATGTGGCCATAAACGGAATCCCATAAGGTGACAGAAAAGTCAGATGCGCAGGTGGAACCTCACTATCAGAAGCTAAAACGTTTCCGAAGAAAAAATTTCAGGCGCATATTTCCTAATGGCGGAGAGTAATACTTGATAGACGAGGCGCTACCAGTACATAGACCCAAAAAGCAGGTTCTCTACCAAATCCCTTCTTTCGGAAAGGAATGTCACCACAACTCAGGTGTGCATCGCAGGAGACGCTCATTCAAACGGCATTTCTTTTATCACAGGGATCAAAATGTGATGGCGAGTGGCGTATTGAACCCTAAGTTATTTGAAGTATCTCAAACACCTAACCCCCGTTCAGCCGTGAATCCCAATTATCCTGGCCAATACTTTGGCAACAGATGTACACCCTCTGCCGGAAATTCCCCACTTGTGAACCCTACCAAAATGTTTTCGGATCCCCCGCAATACGTATAACTCATAATGTGTAGGATTGATCGAGCCATCAGTAACAGGCCTGGAACCAGTTTCCTCTACTTTCGCCGGCCATGAACCACGCCCTATGCCAACAGTAAAAAGTGCAAGTTAGCCGCCTAAGGGCGCCTTCGAAAACCGGGTGACCACATATTTGTGTGGGACAGAGGCTCACCGGTTACACCGGTACGCCTCGCTGTCGGGTCCCATTATATTGAAAACACGCGTAGCACATCGTGTAACGAACTAGATACGTGAAGTGTTTTGCTCAACTAGGCTCAAGAGAAATAATGAGTTACTATGCCAACCATAGTAGCCTTTTTACGCTTCTGCCCGTTAGTGCCCCCTCGTTACCCAAGGAAAAATGTGACCTGAGAACAATCGTTGTATTAGCCAAGTCCTCGGTGTTACTGGTTACTGAATCATGGTGTTCTACCTCAATCCCAGGTGTAGACCTGTCTACGGATGATCATGCTCCTTATCTCACTAATATTGGTCACAGCGTGATGAGCGCTGTTCAATTTATGTGCCTAGTCTTACTGCATCAAATAAAATTGAAGATGACGCCTTCAATGATCCATCGGACTCACTTTGGGTCATTGTAGACGGTATTAACTACAAATCCCCCCACAGGTTGTGTGTATAGAGCGGCAAAAGAAAATGATGGAATGATGACTAGACCGTTTACCCATGCTGGATCCCTCACTGTTGACTCCAAACTGATTGCAGGTAATTTCCCTGAAGTTAACTAGGGAACCTGTAACTGTACAAGACATTCTTACTGCCCCAATTACAGGCCCACAACTCCAGTGTCAGCGTCCTAGAGAAAATTCAGAGGCCGCCAGTAAGCGGTGTTGTGGGAATGGGGCGAAAACCCTATGAGGATAGGCTGCAAGATACACGGGATTATTGTCTCAACCACCTTAGGTAATGCTGTGGTTTGCAAACGGCTTACAAAATACCAGCTAATCCAAGTCATCCACATTGGGAGATCCTACCGAACGGCCACTGTAACTATCCATGGCAACCCAAGCAGAATGGCCCATCAAAGGGAAAAAACCTGTGTATGTTCGAGCCTTTTCTTTCTTTGACTTCGTGGCGACTAAAATGCATGGCAGGTGGGGGTAGCTACATTTCCGTCTATCCATGGCTTCAAAAAGAAGTTGAGCAAATAAGAAGTAACGTACGGTTTGCACCAAACTGGCTGGGGCATGGACCAGGATGAAACAACGTACCAATTTCATAGAGACCAGCACGATCAAACAAATGCCAAATCATTCGTACCACCACCACAATCGTGAACTCGACTCAGCCTTATACTTCCCTGCTAGACGTCTTTTCCAGTTCTCGCACACAGCTAATAGAACTGGTATTCCTATTTCCATCACCTGTCATGTAACCTTACTTGCTCCTTCCCTTCACTCTGGCTCTGTGATCTCACCGCATTCATTGGGGTTTGTCCAATCACTTGTTTCCTATGAATCAACATAGGTTTCTCCTTCCCTTCTGTTCCGCTTCTTTTCACCTTGTTACGATATTTTCTGAATACTTCCTCTCCTCTGATTCCGCTGACCTTTCTTTCTTTCTTCCTTTCACAAGCAGTTCGAAAAACTGGCTGGTTCCACGACACTTGCGAAACCCATCTGCACCACAGTCCTTAGAAAAATCAAACAAACCAAACAAACTTAATGAACACCCAAACGACCACCTGGCTAACCAGAGTTAGAGAGGGCAAGCGGGTGGACTTACTGCATCAGAATCCATTCAAGACCTGGAACCGTTGCGCAAACCTAAAAGCAAGCGGGAAGAAATCAGTTGGTTTACAACAGCTCGTAAAAGGATACTGAATATTAAATATTAGCACGCAATAACCCGAGGTAATTTTAGACTAAACGCTACTTTGGTATTTTTGGAGGATGAGTGTTTTAGATCCGGAGCTGAATTCACAGGAATCACTGGACGATAGTGTTGGTAATATGTCATTTAGTTTTTCAAAAATGGTTCAGCTATCAATTCAACTTCTTCCAGCAGTGATGATGACACGTTTTTGCTAACTGGTAAATTATGGAACCTATTTTATAAATATCTTAGTAAATCCTCTGAATTCATTCGATCTTCAACCGAAAGATGGTGATTACAGTAGGTACAAGGTAAGATGTTAATATTTTACGAGAACATGGAAATACATCGCTTTGCATCAGTGCTAATGGTTAACCTATTCATTTATGTTGATACACCTATCAATTGAATCTGGCTTTTCAGTTTAGGTATTTCGCTAAACTTGAAGTTTAAGTGGTATAAGCCTCAGTTTTCAGTCAGACAGCTAAATTAACTTTCTGTTCGCTACTTTGAGTCGGGAATTGTTTATCACTCAAAATTCTGTTAGTGTGCATTGATGCGCCTTCATAGTTCATAGAAATTTGAAGTATAATTACCTAGTTCAGAAGAGTGGAGATCTTAGTGCCACTCCTCTGAGTTTACGAGTTGAATCTCACGTATCTTGATGAAAACTGTTGTCAGATCCCCCCCATTACGCCACAATTACCTATCCGTATTAGTATCAGTGATTCAAAAGGCTTGTGAAACAGTGGCAAAGTACATTTCTTCGTTTCTGTAGGGTTGGTAAGTACAAATATCCTAATTAGGTTGTTGTAAACCAAAGCAAATGCACAGGTCAAAGTAGTCGACCAGTGTCAATTAAACTTCTCAGAAGCTTTACAAAGAATTTTCAATAAGACTAGGATTAGGTTGGAATTTAAACCTAAAAACTCACTTATAAATAGACTTTGTAGGGTAAAGGACCCTATGATCCAATTAAGCAAAATAATTTAGTTTCCTAAATTCCTCACGAGATCAAATATATAAATCAAGATTAACGACCAGGGTTAGTTAAGCTATCCGAGCATAAAACCCCAGTTAAATTAAAATTGGTAAGTCCTAATAAGATAAGAAATCTGGAAAAAGCTCCTTCAAAGCTATGCATGCAACTACACAACCACACAAGATGGACAGAGTGGCAATCCTTAAAACTAAGTGGAGTAGAAGAAGAGATTTGTAACCGAATTTTCGTTTATTGAATTAACAGAAAATACATGCAACAAGAATGACTCAAGACTTGTTCTAGATATGTGAAAAATCCTATTACCAATATCAAGAAAAGCGAGAGAGTTGGAACTGTATGAACCTTGTCTGAAAGCTGTGGAGCTATCTTGATGTGACGATGGACAACAAATTGTCTCAAATGTACTCCAGTAAATAATACTGTCCCACTGTGTGATACACCTAGTAAATCAATTTAAGTGGAATTATATCACAGTGGCAAAGTTTAACTCTCATAAGAACAAACTTGATAAACGGTTTTTTCAAAGACATGTTCGGAAGTTGTGACTTACTGAAAGTCGAATCGAAATACACTAATAAGTACTATGTATTGTTAGTCATCAGGCGGGTATAAAGAATGCGATTTTAGTGCTTTCGCACCACACCAGAGAAACTAATTAGTGAGCTAATTGCAAAGATGAGTAAGTAGTCAGAGAATATGCAAATCGATTACATACAGTAACGACTTCGAACATGAGGATGAAGTGACATGAAAGTGAGAGCAGCAGAAGTGAAATAGGAAAAGAGACAAAATGACCGTAAAAACATTAAAAAAACAAAGGAAAGCAAAAGAAGTAGATAGAACCCCAGGTTTGTCTCATACCTCACCGTAAACTCAGTGGTTTCGCTTCATCTTATCTGAAACTGCTATTTTGCTGTTAATTCGCACTGACCTTCAAGTGCTGTATACTCAGACATTTGCCGTGCAGGTCTAAAAGCTTCTTTACTCCCTGCTATCACTTCCTGATTTAAGTCATTTCTGAAACCTACTTTTCGTTAGAGGTGTGTGAAAACACGTAAACCAAAACGACTAGCAACACAGTATATTTAGGCATTTGTATACACTTCAGTTAAGGGCAATAAAGTGGTAGAATGTACCTATTCCCCCATCATTCTGACAAGCTTTATTTTTCCGAGTGTAAGATGATCTATGGAATCTCAGTTGTATAAACATGAATATATAAGGCTTTATTGATTATGAATGCTATATGAATCTTGATAGATTACATCAAGGGCAAACTTTTCTTAGTGTTGCAGTTTTCTTTGCATATCATGTATGTGGTCAATGTCCCAACTTAACAACCACATTCAGACTTGTGCTTTGGGTTGTGAGCTATCTGCTTATTTAGATCTTCATATATGAAGCGGATGTCGAATTTCTAGTTTAATGATAAGAAGCATAGTATCTCGGCCAATGAACCTCAGTTTCATTTAAAGATATACTAACCAACTGGCTTCTGGTAATTTATTGTTCATGTGTCTTATAACAGAACATAAGATATAGATCCAAGATACGTTAGGGAAGTGCTACTCTGACTGCGCTCAAGTCTACATGCTGAATCATGAGCTGCATCAACTACTACACATCGGAGCCCTCAACGTCGGGACTCTCCGTCGAATTGGTCAACAGGCTTCATTGGCCAAGACTGGCAACTCGGGCCGTGGATGTGTGCTGTGTTTGCGAGACTATCATACAGGACCTAGTTAGGTTATTCACCTAACCTCTTCTGGCCAATCTGGTGTATCCGCAAAATTCACCCTTCGAGTTTCTGAAGATTAGATGGCTAGCTCTCGCAATCTTTCAGGTGCGGGCTTAGCATTAACCATTAAGGCAGAAAGCTCACTACTAGACTGGATCCCAGTTGGTAGTCGCCTCTGCTCTGTCCAGCTGAACGGCACAGTGAAAACAAAAGGGAATAGTGAAAGTCGCCATTGTCTCTTTGTACTCTCTGCTTACGCACCCACTGACTGCAGTTCGGATCGTGTGAAGGACGAGTTCTGCCGAAGACTGTCTAGCCTCCTTTCGAGAGCCAAATGCTCAGATGTGGTGGTTGTTGCAGGTGATTTCAATGCACAGGTGGGTAGACTGTGTGGGACAGTGAAGCACTCAGCTGGCACTTCCGGAATTCCGACTGAACAAACAGATAACGGTGGTAGCCTACTACGACTTTGCTCAGACAACTGCTTATTTTTAGCTAGCACAAATTTCAGACATGAAGAAAGATATTGTCTGACGTGGCATTCACTGAGCCCAACTCAGCGATGAACACAGATAGACCACATTGCTATCAGTCATCACCGGAGAGGATCGATAGAGACTGCCACCCCTTCTGCAGTACATGTTTGGATAGCAACCACGCATTGGTCCAAGCACGTATATGGCTGCATCTCAATGGACGTAGGAATAATTTGGCAACAAAATCACTACAAGTGAAGCTCAAATACGAAAATACCGAAGCCGCTTCCAGTGAAAAATTGGCTAGGCAGTTATCGAAACAGAAGACTATCATTCATTCAGAATAAGCTTGGTACCATCTCCAGTCTGTTGTAAAAGCAGCTCTGAAGACCGTAGCCGACTCCGAAATAGTGGCTTCTTCCGAACTAACAGATGCACGTGAACGCATCCTTGCCTGCTGGCTATGAGTACAATGAAGAGCTAGCACAACTTAAGAGTAGATTGAGAAAAAGTCTACGCAATGACCGTGAACGGTGGTGGGTAATGAAGGCTAAATAGATGGAAAAGGAGGTGGCGATTGGTAACAACAGACAGTTATTTAGACTTATTAAGGAAACTGGGGGAGAAGATCATAACGGTTATTGAGACTAGCGGAGAAGGATGGGTCTGTGATTCACTCGCAGGGCAGACGACTGGAACGACAGGCAGAACACTTTGAGGAACAGTTTAACTGGCCTCCAGCCACCATTGCGTTGCCTGTTATCCAGTCGGATCCTGACTTTAACATTGAAATATGCCCCCCAACACTAGGAGAAGTCGAGAAAGCTGTAGTTAACTTGAAACGAGGAAGGGTAGCAGGACCAGATGGACTAACTCCAGAGGTATACAAGGGTGGTGGTAAGGTGCTCTTAGTCAGGTTAACGAAATTGTTAACCAGTGTATGGGAATCAAATACGACCCCTTCTGTTTTGTCTAAATCACTGATTATTCTAGTCTTCAAGAAAGGCGAGAATTCCTCTTGTAATAACCACAGAGGAATCAGCCTGATGAACATAGTATCTAAAATTCTGAGTTCTATAATTCTCCGACGCCTGAGTGGAGTTCTGGAACAGCAAGCCCTAGGAAACCAGGCAGGCTTTAGACCCGGCCGTGGGTATACCGACCAAATATTCACACTGCGCCAGGTTCTGGGACGCAGGCACGCTTACCAACACCCGACACTAGCTGTATTTTCCGACCCGAAGGGGGCATTCGACTCTGTTGATCGAGAAGTCTTATTGCAACGTCTCTCACTGACAGACGTGCCGAGTAAGTACATCACTTTATTGAAGGCTCTCTATTCGAACACTTGTGGGCATGTTAGAGCCTGTGGTGTGATGTCGTAGGAGCTGTGCCCGTCGAGTGGTGTCCGTCAGGAGTGCCCACTCTCCATTCTTATTCAATTTTATCATAGATATTCTTATGGAGGTGTCCCTCTCGTCACCTGACTACACAAAGGTTGACCTAATCGGTGGGGAATTTCCGTTAGACCTAGAATATGCAGATGACATAGTCCTGCTAGGTGAAGACGTTGACAAGATGCAGAGTCATCTGGACACCTAGAGTGGGATGCGTTTCTCACCACCCAAATGGGAATTGTTGCTCCAGGATTGATCTTCAACCATGCCCCACCGCGGCTAACAATAGAGAGTGTAGAGGTTGAATGTGTCGACGACTTCACTTACCTGGGAATTAGGATCAACCCTGATGGCTCAGTGGCCAATGAAATCTCTGCATGAATACAAAAGGCACGGGTGGCTTCGCCCCCTGTGGCACCGCCGTGATTTCTGATTGTCTACTAAGGGTCGCATGTACTGCACAACAGTTCACTCGGTCCTGCTGTATGGCTGTGAAACATGGCCATTGAAAGTGGAAGACATGAGAAGGTTTCAGGTGTTTGACCACCGTTGCCTTCGTAACATAGGCTGCCGTATTCCGTGGTGTCACCAGGTGAGTAATGCAGAAGTCAGGTGTAGAGTTTCAGGGAGAAGAGGTAAGTCAGTTGACATGACTGTGAACTTTAATAGACTGAGATGGTTGGGACGCATGTTAAGTATGCTTAGTCGTCGTCTGCCTCGTCACACAATGTTGGCCGAAGTAAGTTCAGGCTGGGATAAATGCTCTTGGCTGTCGGCCAGACTACAACATTTCATCAATGTATGAAGTGTTTGACTGTTTGGTTTGAGCCATGTGGAGCGATGCAAACTAGCTGGTTGGGGTCCGTGGGACAAGAGAAACCAGTGGTTGGAGACTGGTTGTAGGTGATATGGCTTAGAACCGATGTCAACGGCACATACATTATCCTTATCTTAACGCTTTACCGAATCTCACCATTTTCTCATTCTTCCTTTCTCTCATTTAGCACTTTATATTTCTTTTCACTGAAATTTCTTTTCCTCATCTTCCACTTCTCTGCCTTTTTACTTGGTGTACTGATATGAGATGAGGTGTGGCAAGTTGGACCGTTACGCAGTAATGCCTGATGCTGTGTTGATTTAGATAGAAGGATGAATGGAATCTAATCGAAATGCACCCAGGGACCTTGTGCATATTCGTGCAGTAGGCGATGAGCCACACGTGTTGTGCAAGTGTTAATAACATTAGCTGGCTGTCCAAACCTGAGTAGATGGAGATGTGTTTAAAGCTATGATCCATTAGTGGAAAGTCAACTCTCTAAGCTAATGAACTACAGTTCTATTCTAAGACATAATACTTATTTAGATGAGTGTTATGAAAGATACCTTAGTCTCGTTTAGGTTCTTTAACATTGGATGGTGATATTTTAGTCTCTCCATTTGTAAACTGATATCGATCTAAAGTTCTTTTGTACTTAAAATCAGCTCTTCTTGAAAGCAGGTGCTCGTAGATGTTTATTTCTATTGTATGTATCACTTTACTTGTGTATGACTGCTATCTCTCTTGGCTGAATCGTCACTAGTGACTTATGATTTTCTGTATTTCTATGCGTGCTTAGCTGGCAGAATTATCTCCTGTCAGATACTTTAAATACAATAAATCGATATCAATTATTACTATTGGAGACTAGTTAGATTGAATAGGTCAAATTGATGTGACATCCGAATGTCTATTAAGCATCGAGTGTGTTGCGCTGCAGTTTAGTATTCTCGTGTGTGGCTGTAAAATATAGCTAGTAAACGTAGAAGACATAAGAAGATTTAAAGTATTTGGGCGACGTCGTCTTCGTAAAATAATCCGTATGCCGTGGCGTTAGTCTGCCGGTAATGTAGGAGAAGAGTTTTACATAGACAGAAACACACACACGTGCGCACACGTACATCGGTCTGAGTTGTCGCACTTTACTTTAGTATACAAAGAAAATGTAGATAGAATAAGAGTGACACCAAAGTAGACAAAGTTGTGTGACAGAAAAAGCAATTTAGACTTAATGGTTACTTGGATTATTCAAGTTTCAGAAGGCGTCAAAAAGTAAATACATCTAAGGCCACTGCGATCGATCTTCAACAGTCACCAAACGTTAACCACTGATACCTATCGTCTCATCCACCCCAACCGGACACCTAGTTTACATCTCTCCACACAGCTTAGACCAAAAGTCACAGACTTCATCGATTGATACCACGTCTTGGTCTGACCACCATGAACTCTCTTCAAACCTCATCCAACTTTCCCTAGTATGGCACGTACACGTAGGCGACGACTTGACATGCGCAACTCATTCCCGAGTCATCTCATGAGATACAGGTTCTCATCCTCATCAATTGAATTGCTTGTTTGGCCTAATACCCTACTCCTAACCTCGATGTTACTCACACGATGATTCCACCAAACGCGTGCAATGCTGCGAATACACCTATCGTCAAAACCCTATAATCGCTTCATATCTTCTACTTTTGAAGACCACCTCTCACAGCCGTATAAAAGGATAGAACGAACTGTAACACAGTATACTCATCCTTTGATAGATAGTTTCACATCTCCCCAGTCGGCGCTACAGATGACTCAATTTCGCAAATGATAAACGAGCCCTCTGTATCCCAGCTGAAATTTTGTCAGGAAATCACCTGTATGGTGGGCTGATGTAGGTCTCCAAGTAAGTGAAGTGGTCGACACATTCCGCCACTTTACTCATTATTATTACATTTGGAGTAGTTGTAAGAGATCGGTCTCGTAGCATCATCCAACATTCGACAGGTGCCAGAGAAACGCATTCCAAACACTCAGATTTCCGCTCAACGCGTCGAGAAGACTTTGCATTTTGTCAGTGTCTTCACCTAGCAAGAAAAAATCGTCTGCGTACTACAAATCAGTTAGATGACCTCCAGGAATTAGGTCAGTGCTGGTGAAGTCAGATGTATCTATGGTTATATCCATTAGTATACCAATAACGAAGTTAAAGAACGGTGGTAAAAGACATCTCTGGCGGTTACCACTAGTTTTCGTCAATTCACATGACAACTCTTCATAAGCCCTTGCACGGCTGCCTGAGTTCGAGTAGGGAACTTTGATAGGCGTCGGATAACTATGAACCCTAGGATCTTAAACACAGTGTTAGTCAAATTAATTCCCTTATGATTGTCATAAAAAGGTGTCTCTCCCTTTTTGGAGACTGGAATAATCAGTGAAGCAGTCCAATCTGACGGCACCACCTCTAATTCTTATACACTAACTAATACCTCTGTCACTTTAATTCGCAACTTCTTACCTCCATCCTTGAGAACTTCGGTTGGCATACTGTCAGATCCTGCTGGTTTACATCATTACAGGTTCGATGCAGCTTTCTCAACTTCAAGAAGAGTTAGAGGGCCAGTATCTGCGTCCCATTTAAGTTCAGACTGGATGTTGGGCGACTGAAGCGTTGGTGTGAGCCAGGTAAACTGGGGATTAAAGTATTCTACCCAACGTTCTAGCCATCTGTCTTTGGAGGTTATCAACATGTCATCCTTTTCGGTGATGGTTTCACTCACCAACGTCTTCTTGTTACTGGTATCCCTAACAGTTGTTACCCAACGCTGATGCCTTCTCCATCTCTCTCACTTGATTGATCTCGTCACCCGCCACTACTCGCGATCGATGCGTAGACTCTTGATCAACTTGCTATTAAATTGCTTTGTCTGTTCATCATTGTCAGAGCCAGCTAGAATCAGTCTTCTCTCATCAATCGTTTCTAATGATGTCGCAGAAATCTAATTACGTTTGGTACTCTTCGGGAGTAGGTTACTAACTGTCTTCAACACTGTTTCTACAGAAGACCTAATATGTTGCTAGGTTTCCTCAGGATGAGCATTGCTGTCGTGTTCGGATAAATGCTTAGCTAACACTCCCCTATTACGTATTTGGCGTTTTTGTCTTCCAATTAGTCGTAGGAGAGCTATACTATCGCCCAGTTTCTGCTACCAGTAAGGCGCAGACGCACCAGCCAACACTAGCGTGTGATCGGAGTTCAAACTGGTACTCCAGAAAAAGCTGCAATCCGCCACCAATCCTTTCCAACGATGACTGGCTTATAACGATGTGATCTATCTTTGTCCATCGTTGGTTTCAAGTCAGAGGACACCATGTAAGATATTATCTCTCTTTATGTCCGAAACTAGCACTAGCTAGAAACAAGTGATTGTCTGAACAATATTGCAACAGACGATCGCTTTTGTCGGTTCGTTTTCATGGGATTCTTTATATACCCCTAAGATGCATTTCCGATTAGCTCAGCTGCCCTACTTAGACTTCGAGGGAAAAAGCGTTCCGCCAGCGTAGTTTTCTGGGTCATTGTTATGTACAAGCCCGACCAGCACGTCAAGGTTGCAGCTATCTGCAGCGTAGAGTTTTAGGGTATGGAGTAAAGTTGATTGATGAGGCTGTGAATCTTCATTGACGTAGGTGACTTGGTTATGTTAGGCGTGCCTAGTAACCGTCTACCTTTTCATACGATGTTACATGAAGTAGGTTCAGGCTGAAAAAAGCCAGACGTGGCTAAACTAAAACATGCTATCAGTGCTCAAAGTCTTTAACTGTTGGTCTGAGCCGCATAGGGGAATGTAGACTTCTTAGTTATGGTCTGCGTGACAATAGAAACCGGTGGTTGGATTTAAGTATTCGTTCACTACTCCTTGGTCTCTTTCTACCACTTTTGATTGCTTTCTTCTTTATATCTTTATCTTAGTGGATTCTCATTTGATGTGCTGATATTTGTGGTAACTTGGACCATTACTCAGTAATGTCAGTTCCTTGGTTGATATTGTTTATCTGTCTGAGTGGGACAAGGTGGATAGGGCGTTGAAATCCGTTGCATGTTAAGGGACTATATTCAGTGTAAAAAGGAATATCGAATTCCAATGCAGACCATTTCTCCATTTTTTCCTCTTACTACTTTTTGGTCTTTTTTTTTTACTGAAAGACTTGAAATTTGTAGCCACCCGAGTACTGTTCTTAGTTGAATACTGTAAGGTTTATCTATAAGCGTTTTGAAAAATCTATAAATGTACGAGCTTTATTCATTTGAATGCATCATAACAATGCTGTTTTTGCTCTTCAGAAACAGTTGGAGTGTGAATTACGAATCGGAAGTGCTTATTATATTGGGACTTCAGTTAATCCGTCGTTTGGTCTTTCAAATTCACTTGTTGGAAATGATGATGTTGAGAATAACAGATCACGAGCCTTTATGCGACATCCATTTAATCTTTTGCTAGCTCGTGAACAAGGAGATATTGGCCCATCATCTAAGTCGCGGAGATTGCGTTACAGAGCATCTCGTTGGATAACAGAAGGCAATCAACGTTTTAATGGCCTACAGATTTATGGTTTTCGGTCAAAAGGTGCACTGTATCCTGATGCACAAACATTTCAAGAGAGTGTTCAAGGAAGTCTATGGGCTGTCACACGGCTGCATCTAGAAAATAAATTTGAAGTATGTTTTTTTTGATTAAATCTACTCTTATAACTACTTAAATTTAGATTTTTCATTTTCACCTTTTTTTTTTCATGAAAGTGGACTTTTGTCGAGAATTGTTTATAAAATGTGATGTTATAACTGTTGAAAGGAAGTTTCATACAGGTTTCACGATTGTATCACGTCTATAGAAACTGTATTCGTTTGGAAGTGGGTTTGGTGTTCTAAAGCAAACTAAAGGGTATAATATTTGATCACCACCTTTACATTATCTATTGTAGAGCATATGTTACTCTGAAGCATGCACGCCTTACAGTTAGTTTGTACCTGTTTGTTTGATTGCGTGTGGAAATCAGTTATTTCATAGGATGGGATCACTGAAGTGCATGGATCCTCTGTTTCTCGACAGTTTGCATAAGATCCTAAAGTTTGCAGTAGTATGGTTGTTGAGCAAAAAACCTACGTTTGGAATATGTTTCCCTGGCACCCGTCGAATGTTGGATGATGCTACGAGACCGATCTCTTACAACTACTCCAAATGTAATAATAATGAGTAAAGTGGCGGAATGTGTCGACCACTTCACTTACTTGGAGACCTACATCAGCCCACCATACAGGTGATTTCCTGACAAAATTTCAGCTGGGATACAGAGGGCTCGTTTATCATTTGCGAAATTGAGTCATCTGTAGCGCCGACTGGGGAGATGTGAAACTATCTATCAAAGGATGAGTATACTGTGTTACAGTTCGTTCTATCCTTTTATACGGCTGTGAGAGGTGGTCTTCAAAAGTAGAAGATATGAAGCGATTATAGGGTTTTGACGATAGGTGTATTCGCAGCATTGCACGCGTTTGGTGGAATCATCGTGTGAGTAACATCGAGGTTAGGAGTAGGGTATTAGGCCAAACAAGCAATTCAATTGATGAGGATGAGAACCTGTATCTCATGAGATGACTCGGGAATGAGTTGCGCATGTCAAGTCGTCGCCTACGTGTACGTGCCATACTAGGGAAAGTTGGATGAGGTTTGAAGAGAGTTCATGGTGGTCAGACCAAGACGTGGTATCAATCGATGAAGTCTGTGACTTTTGGTCTAAGCTGTGTGGAGAGATGTAAACTAGGTGTCCGGTTGGGGTGGATGAGACGATAGGTATCAGTGGTTAACGTTTGGTGACTGTTGAAGATCGATCGCAGTGGCCTTAGATGTATTTACTTTTTGACGCCTTCTGAAACTTGAATAATCCAAGTAACCATTAAGTCTAAATTGCTTTTTCTGTCACACAACTTTGTCTACTTTGGTGTCACTCTTATTCTATCTACATTTTCTTTGTATACTAATGTAAGGTTTTGTAATGTAGGCTGAGGCATACCTCTAGTGTATGATTTGGTCACACTGCACGGGTAACCAGAGCGTAGTGGATAAATGTGATGGAGATCTGTAATCCTCTTGCTGGAATTCGGATATCTGAATCATTTAGCCGGAATCCCATTTAGAGTATAAAGTCGCACTGAGATCTTAAGGTGTTGTATGTAAACCATCTACTCAACCTGATCAAATGTTTGTGGTAGATTAGGTAATTTGGACACAGTTTTTGAGCATCCCATTAAAATATACTAGCAGATTTCTTTTTATAAGTAGTATTCATCACTGACTGATATCATTTGTGGAACCTTGGGAAACCTGAGAGCATTTGGCAGATGTTTCGTCCCAGTATGGGACTCCTCAGCAGTACGCACCCACGGCTTGGCTAGGGACCGAACTCAGAACCTTCAGGTTTCATAGCGAACGCGTTAGCCATTCAGCCACTGGGTCGGTCTTCAATGGTTCCAACTTCTATCAATTCACAATATAGCGCGACTATCACCCAAGGTCTTCAGTTGTTTAAGGAGTTACAAAACTACTCGAAATTCATATCTTGCCCCAAATTTATTTCTCAATATTTGTTTAAGGCTAATCGTTAGTAATTTTTTAGTGTCTCAGCAATGACATGAATTTTAGTGCAATTCACATTGTCGTTTTCTTATGTTACTATCCGTACTGTCGTAGGAAGTGCAGAATTTGAATCCCTAGACTATTGAATCTTAGATCCTTGAGTTAAATTTTGACATTTACAACTAATCAAAACATTAGCAAGGTTGTTTTGGTTTCGAGTACCTAGTTTCTGTTGGTATTTATCATAGGCTGACAGCAGTTGGCGAAATATTAGAAACCTATAACCTCACCAGGACCTTCGTGTTCCGTAGCGAGCACGTTACTATTGAGCCAATGGGTGACGTACTGATCCTGGATTTATTCCTTGTCAGGATCGCGACTGCGCACTGCTGAGGAGTCCCATAGGAAGACGAAGTAGCTATGTTTCTTCAACTGATGTCAGTCCATGATGAATACCAACCTGAAATCAATAAATAAATCCTCAGAAACCTCCAAATTATATTAAAATATCCGTATTGTTTTTTATTTTTATTTTCGTGTATAATGACAGTCTGACAGAAAAAGGTTAGGAGTAGAATTATCCTTGGGATTCCCACCAGTTTCTGGATTCTAGTTGTATCCATGAAATAATGCAGATAGCTGCCCAACTTCATTGAGTGGTGCGGCTCAAGCTTACTCGGGGTGGTACGAATACAACCAGGTTGTTGCAAATAATGGATATATATTCTTTACACCATTTTATTCCTTCATCTTGTCTTCCGCATCCATATCTACAAAGAAAGCCAACAAGCACATATCTACCAGGATATAAAGGTTAACAATGTTGCTGTGATGCTTAGATCGAGATATGCGAAATTGTTTTGTAATCAAGTAGCTTTATTTAGTGACCTACAGCTCTACGTATATGAAGGCAGGTATTTCAAAGTGCCTAACTGTCATCAGCGTGTATTGGTGTGTTAAAGCTTTATAGTGCGTGCTACTGATAGGAGCGGATATAAGTAGTATATGTTGAGAGGTCTTCACCTACCTCGGCAGCGTCGTCTCAACTACAGGCGGCGACACAGATGAAGATGTCAAAGCAGCCAGCATCGGAAAGACAGCAAGACAGGCCTTCATTAACCTGAAATCAGTGTGGAGATCTACTGCACTCAGCATGTGGAACAAGATGCGGATTTTCAACACTAATGTGAAGTGAGTCAGTACTTCTTTGTGATGGTTGAGAGACTTGGCGGCGCGTTACGGAAAGCATTTCCAATAAACTACAGACATACACCAAGAGTTGCTGCCACCTACGATCACTGGATACTGAGGATGAGATAGATGACCAGAATAAGAAGAACAAGCAACAAGGAAGTGCCTGTGGGTGGCAACGGGCCAAGCAATAAGGTATCGCCAAAGGAGTATATAGAGGAAATTGGAGATGGATTTGATTTGATTGAAGTGAAGTGAAGTGAGCATACAGTGAGGAGACCGACTGGGTACATTATGTGCCAGGCGTGTGAGCGGACTGTCGAGTGGGACGCGGATGGGAAATGGGGAATTGTGCGTGTGAGTGTGACATGGGGGCGATCATTTGAATAAGAAATGAGAACTCCTGTTGAGTGGTGAAGCCAGCTTGAAAACACTGCAGAGAGAAGAGAGTGAAATGGCGAAGTGCTGCTGTAAACCCTATGTTTCACTAGTAACCTCAAGGTAAAATAAATTATAATAAATATCAAGAGGTCCGCAGAAATCATAGACAATTACCAGCGATGGGTAAATATTCTGCCCAGAAGAATACAAGAAACAATCTGAGCTTATTATGAGCAAGTCGAGATAAAAGTAGAAGAGGAAATGAATCAGCTTGTGAAAGTGGATATTTCGATGGGAAGTTTACAATATTTCATCACTACTGTACAAGATGTCAATGATAAACATTCTGTCCTATGTCTTAGTCGTTTTTTGAAGCTTCATCATTGAACCATTATACTCAGTGTAACTAACACCATCATAATTACATCAATAAGCTAAATATCTAACTTGCTATCTCATAGTTGACTTCATTCATGTAAGTTATTTGTATTTCAGGTATACACGATTTTCTCTAGCCTACTTAAACTATCACAAGATATACAATTTATCCATTTATATTAGTTTTAATGTATGAACTACATTTTACTCTAGCATTTATATAATATCCTAATTTGAATGTGTTTATCTATCCGATAAAGTATCATCGTGGCTGCGTTAATACTCTGAATTTCAATGACAAAGGCAGTTTAATCGCTTCTGGATCTGATGATTTGAAAGTTGTTGTAACAAATTGGATAACTGGTGAACGAGTTTGGAGTTATCATACAGGTCATTCTATGAATATATTCCATGTAAGTTTCTTTACTTTAATCATCAGTCAATTATGCTATTGTGAACGGTGTAAAAGAGTATTAGTGTGGAGCACATAGTATATGTCACACAAAACAACACTAAAGATGTTATTATTTATCTCTTGGGTTCCTAGTGGAAGATAGGGCTTCAGTAGCACGTTGCCATTTCACTCTCTTCTCTGCAGTCTCTCTAACCTATCATCACCCTTGGATGTCCAACCCATCATTTCCTATTTAGGTTCCATTCGAGGGCCTGACCTGGTGAATGATGTCCCTAAACGGTATGTCCAGTCCAGTCCAACCCAATCGATCTCCACTTTCTTCTGCTTATTTGTTGAACGATAGGTTGTTAATTGGTTCATTGTCAGAGTAAGTTCCTTATTGTCTATTCTTTCTGGCCATTTATCTGATCTTTAGTATCAAGCGGTATTTTTCAATTTGAATTCCAGTTAAGAGAACAGTAGTGAATGAATAATTAGTGACTGTTACATATAATATTTACGGTATTTTACATCTGGTTTTAAGGCGTATGTACTACAACTTAACAGTTTAAAGAATATCCTTCTTCTGACCCAATGAACACATATTAGTCAATACTTTACAAAATACCGTGCCAATTCTGATGTACACAACCAGGTAGTTACTTACAATAGCTTTGCTTAAGAGTTTTAGATGCCTACATCAAAAACTTATATTTTTACGAACCTATTATTAATACATCTATCTTTTGACAACAGTTAAAGGTCTTCAGTCATTGGCCCTTACATTCTCGATGATCCTCAACCATGTAACCTATGTTTGCAATACAAATTGTTGACTAATTGGATCGTTTATTCTTTGTGTTCCCTACTATATGAGGTTATTAATTTTACTGTGTACTATTTATGGATGTTTTTGTGTTCTGGTTTTTTTTTGACGCTATTGTACCTCATTTATTGTCTCCTTCATAACCGATTTATCGCTTTATATGGTGATAAATGCAGCAACTTGCATTAATTCTCAGTTATGCCAGATTCAATGTTCATGTCTATCACTTTGGTACAGAACATATTCGTAGTTCTATACTGGGCTAGTAGCTACAAATCTCAAGGATCCACTATACATATCTGTTGGAGTCTTCCTATGTTCTGACTTAAACTGCATGATGTGAAGTCTCCAGCCGGTTTAAAAAGTTGAAGGTGACAGGTGCACATTGTTTCAGAAGAAATTAATCGGAATCGAAATGCACTCAGCAACCATATATATGCATGTTTGAGCAGTTGTCAAAGAGCCCACACTTTATTGTATGGGGGCTAATGATAGGTGGAGTGGAGTTTGCACCTGTGATCCATCGGATGGCAGTTATTGAGCATTGAATGAAGGCTTCTGGAAGGAAAGTATTCAGCGAATCATAACTTCCTAAGTGAGTTGCAATTCCAACAGCAACACAGGAGAGATGACTGGAACGATGAGCGGAACACTTCGAGGAACAGTTCAACTGGCCTCCAGCTACTATTACGTTGCCCGCTATGCGGTCGGAACCTGAATAAAACATTCTGATAGTAACTCCAACACCTACGTTAGTCGATAAAGCTGTAATCAGTCTGAAAGGAGGATAAGCAGCAGGATCATGCAGACTGGTACCAGTGGTATCTAAAAATAGTAGTTGAGGATTTTCAGTCAAACTAACTGAAGCTTTAACTAGTGTATGGGAGTCGGATATGATCACTTGTGACTGGTCTCAATCAATGATTATCTCAGTCATCAAGAATGGGAGGAAATCGTTTTGTGCTAACCACAGGGGGGAATCCTACTGATGAGCATAGTGTATAAAGTCCAAACGAAGAAAACCAGGCAGGCTTCAGACCTCGATGTGGATGTATCGACTAGGTGTTCATCATCTGCCAAGCTCTGAAATACAAGTACACATATCGTCGCCCGACACTGACTATTTTTCTCGACGTGAAGGCGACTTTCGACTCTGTCGATCTAGAGGTCTTATTGAAGTCTGTCACTGAAAGGTGCTGAGTATGTACATCACTCTGTTGAAGGTTCTGTACTTTGAACACTTGTGTGCGCTTCACAATTTATCAGGATTTGACAGGTTAGTAGTGTACGTCGAATGGTGTTCACCAGTGGTGTCCACTCTCTCAATTCTTGTTCAGCCTTATAATGGATTTGCTTATTGAGGTCTCCTCCTTGTTAAAAGACTTCACGGAGATTGATCTTACCACGGGAGACTTTTTGGTAGACCTAGAGTATACAGATGACATGGTCCTATTGTGGAGACAATGATAAGATGCTGAGTCTTCTGGACACCTTGAGTGACAATTTGAGGACGTTTTGGATTCGTTTCTCACCATCCAAATTCTAATTGTTGCTTCAGGAGTGATCTTCGTTGGTGGCTAGCTTAACTGTAGAGAGTGAAATGGTTGAACACGTTGACCACTTCATGTACTTGGGAAGTTTGATCAATCTTGGTTTGTCAGTGACTGACAAAATCTGCACGGATTGAATTTCCCTATTTATAGCGTCGACGTGATAATCGATTGCCCATCAAGGATTGAGTGTATTGCGTTACAGTTCACTCTTTTCTGCTATGTGAGTGTGAAGCATGTCCGGTAAAGTGAATGATATGCGAAGATTTCAGGTATCTGACTACCGTTGGCATAGGGCGTTTGTCATGGTATCACAGCGTCATTAAAGCTGAAGTTAGGTGTAGACTTTTAGGAGGAAGAAAGCCAGTTGATGAGGTTGTGAACCTCTATTAAATCAGGTGGCTGAGGCATTTGTTGTACATGCCAATTCACCGTCTGTCTCCTCTCAGAATTTTAGCTGAAGTAGTTTCTGACTTAAAGAGGTTAGGGGCTGCCGGGCTAAAGCATTACATCAGTATGTGATATTTGATTGTTGGTCTAAATCGTATTGGTAAACGTGGACTTCCCAGCTATGGCCTGCATGACAACCGAAATCCGTTGTAGGAGACTGTATGTGGTATAACTCAAAATCACACTCGGTAGCGCAGATGTATCCACAAATTATCTTGCTGAATTCCAGTACTGTCTCATCCCTGTCTATCGTCAGCTTTCCATCACTTTTGGCATCGTTCTTTATTTCTTTATGTTTCATTTTTGGTTCATGTGCTGATATGATGTGTAGTCACGTAGTAAAGCCATGTCCCACTGTGATCTAGACAATATATCAACAACAACAACAAGAGACTGAGTGAAATAAGAAGAAACAGAAACATCTATTTTTTTTAGATCATTAGTCTGAATATCCACACTGTGAGCTACAAACATTCTCTACAACAGACAAACAGATTAAATCAATGTAGAACCTTCCACACCATTGCATCACACACACTTTAGACTAGCATTCAAAGAACAAGTGGGTAGAAAAAGAATGATATTTAATTAGATAAAGTATGTGAGAGGAGAAGGAATTTAAGATTGAAGGTTAGTCAAAACATTCAAGCTTTAGAAGACGTCAAGGAGTGAATAAATCTACACCATTGTAACCGATTTGGAACCATATCTTCATGAATCTCCAACCGTTGATTTCTATAATCTCGAAGACCTCAGCCAAGGTAGTCTACACCTCCCTACATTGGCTCAGATCAACAGTCAGGGAATTCATGAACTGGCCAATGATTTTTTCTTTTAGTTTAGTCAACCTGAGCTCTCTTACAAAGTAATCCAACTTCCGGAGTTACTGGACATCAAGGTAGGTGGTGGGTTGGCCTGCCCAATACATATCCATGCAACGTAAGTCGATGAAGGTTCACAACCTAGCTATGAGACTATCTTAAGCATGTGATTCTTACGATGGTCTCCACACTCACCTCGAACGTGATTAATCTCGTATATACTGGCGCAGACTCGAATACTCAACCCATTCACATAATGAGCCACACAATTCCGCCCTCCCATCTGCTAACAACATGAAGTTTGGGGCTTTCTCTCCTTATATATTAGGCTATCTAATTCATCTGTATATACACAAGTAACTTGACTGCAATGCACCATCATTTATAATGATGAAACAACTAGCTTCAGACAAAGAATAAGATCATGTATTCAGCATGCAATTATATGCGAAATGTAGGTCATAGAGAAACGAGTGAAGGGTCAATCGAAAGCTCCTTAACCGAGGTATACAATAATAATACTGATTAAGTCATGCGTGATATGATTTTTAAAATAAATAATATAATACGACCAACGACACTTTTATCTGAGGTTCATGTTATCCACTTTTAAGTTGACATAACATTTTCCCCTCCATCCATCTAAATCAAAATAGGACCAGGCATTACTGCGTAACGGTCCAACTTGCCACACCTCATCTCATATCAGTACACCAAGTAAAAAGGCAGAGAAGTGGAAGATGAGGAAAAGAAATTTCAGTGAAAAGAAATACAAAGTGCTAAATGAGAGAAAGGAAGAATGAGAAAATGGTGAGATTCGGTAAAGCGTTAAGATAAGGATAATGTATGTGCCGTTGACATCGGTTCTAAGCCATATCATCTACAACCAGTCTCCAACCACTGTTTTCTCTTGTCCCACGGACCTCAACCAGCTAGTTTGCATCGCCTCACATGGCTCAAACCAACAGTCAAACACTTCATACATTGATGAAATGTTGTAGTCTGGCGGACAGCCAAGAGTATTTCCCCAGCCTGAACTTACTTCGGCCAACATTATGTGACGAGGCAGACGATGACTAAGCATACGTAATATGCGTCCCAGCCATCTCAGTCGCCTAACTTTGATATTACTAACACTGTAACTCTTCCTTAAGTAAGCGGTGCTACAAAGACACATGTAGTCAGATATCTTTAACCACCCCATATCTACTTTTAACGGCCATTTCTCACAACTGTGCAACACTACAGACGGGATTGCAGCGCAGTATACTCACCCTTTAACAGGTATTTAGGTATCTCTCCATTTAGCGCCACGGATTATGCAAGTTGACAAATGCTATAGCTGGCCTTCTGTATCCGAACTAAGATTTTG